CCAGTAACAACCACTGTGCCTCCCAACTTATCCTCTGCACGTCAACAGAATAGCCAGGCATGTTACTGTGGGCTGAACGTCCCATCCCTTATCCAAACTGCTTGGGACCAGGAGCGCTTCAGATTTTTGATATTTTCGTATTTTAAAATTTTGGATAAATACAATGAGATCTTCTGAGGACAGGAAACAAGTCTAAATACAAAATTCATTTGTTGCATGCACGCTGCATGCACACAGTCTGAAGGTGGTTTTGCACAGCAACTTATCATCCGAGGCCAGGTGTCAGGTTTTTCCAGTGTGGCGTGTCAGCTCTCTGAAAGTTTTGGAGTTTGAGGCACTTTACAGTCTGAAGTTTCAGTTAGGGATGCCCACCTGTCATCTTTTTCCTCTTTTTATTTTTTCCAGAGAAGGAAAGAGATATACAGAGTAAGTAACTCTCCTAGTCACCCAGGCTGCAAGTGGTGGCTACCCATGCTGGACTACTTGACCCTGCTGCTGCTCCAGGGGAGCTGCAGGTAGATGCAGTGGTCCCAGGTGGAGACGGGGCCGTGCAAGGTCAGCAGGACTGATTTTTCAACCACATCACAGGACCACTAAAATCACAATGGACGTGCTTAGACAACATTACGTAATAGTCAATAAGCTGAGAAGCACGGCTCCAGTCATTGAGAATTCCTAGTCTGCGCTTTCACAATTGGCTCTCTCCTCAGACTCAGACAAGGTTCTATTTTGAATTCTAATGAGGATCAGCCACACTGAATATTTAAACTGCAATTACAAAGATCCCACTTTTATGTAAATGCCCTTAATACAAGAAACAGATCTGAAAATATATGGAGGAGCCAGGGAAACCTATCAGTCTAATTTTGCCTTTACAATCTAGGAAAAAACAGCATTATTTCCTACTTGATGTTATCATGGGGGTGGGGTGGGGGGTTGGCTGGGAAAAGAAAAGGGAGGGAAAAAACACACACACAAAGATCTCAGGAAAAATTTCCAAGCGCAGCCTCTGGAGTGAAAGGTCCACAAAGAAATGCTTGAATCCTTTGTTAGTAACTGAACAAACAAATTCATCACCAGGTCCTTCTCCTGTGTGGCCCCTTGTGATTTGGTCTGTATTTATAACTAGAATTTCGCCCTCCTGCTCAAGCATCTATGACTGATATGTCAGGCTGGCATGGAAGATACGTACACGCCAGGGAAACAAAAAGCCATTTCATGCTTTACAGCCTAGTTTGGCTCTCTTTTGAGGAAAAAAGATGATGGGCCGGCTGCTCCCCACACCTCGCTCGGGTCTTCCTAGTTACACAGTCTGAGAGGCCATGTGAACCGCAATCAAGTGACACTTGAGTGAGCTGATTAGATTAATTCCCAAGCCCTACACACCTTGCCTGCATGCATGCGCCTATATTTACACAGAAAACTCAGCCTTGCATCTGGGAAGAGTGGGTGATTCATTCTTTGCTGTTTCTGGGGCTCCTGGACTGTCCTTTTGTTCCTCAAAAGCCATCGTTACCGAGGCTGAAAATTAATTTCCACAGCATTTGATACTAGCACTTATGAAAACAGAATATAGTGGGGTTTTGCTTGTTTCACTTGGTTTGTCCTCTGGTTGATTCTCTTTTACTGGTACCAAAAATGCACACTTAATTAATTTTTGGTTTCATTTATTTTTATTTATAGAAGTTCTATTTGGTACCCTTTCATATAACTTGTGTTACTTTTTATAGTTTCCTGTTCTCTTTAGATTCTTTCAAGCCTTTTAGTTTAAAAAGCAAAAGTGAGAGGCTAGAGAGCAGGCTCAATGGTTAAGAGTACTTGCTCTTACAGAGGACCAGGATTTGACTTACAACTATCTGCAACTCTGGTCCCAGAGGATCTGATGCCTTCTTCTGACCTTCATGGCACCAGGCATGCATATGGCAGGCATGCATACATACATACATACATACATACATACATACATACATACACACACACACACACACACACACTCAGGTAAAACTCATACACATAAAATAACATGCTTTAAAAAATACAAAATTGGGGGGCCAGTGCGATGTCTCAGTGGGTAAAGGTACCAGCTGCCAAGCCTTATGACCTGAGTTCCATTCCCAGGATCCATGTGGTAGAGGGAGTGAGCCTACTCCCACAAGTTGTCCTCTGATCTTCACACATGCACCCACCCACCCATCACCCACCCACCCATCACCCACCCACCCATCACACACACAAATGTAAAAAGATTTAAAACAAAAAGTTTTAAACCATGCCTCATCATCCTAACACTACATACAGGTCTATGCATATCGATTTCATGGTCCATTGCTAGTTCCTGCCATCTGTGGTTTTCATGTATGCTACCTCATCACCTGGGATAAATATGCTCCTCCCATGAGGCTTTTGAGTTACTTTCTCCCTGCTGTGACTAAACCAGACAAGAAGTAACTCAAGGAAGGAAAGGTTTGTTTGGTGTATGCTTCAGGAGATAATGTCCACCACAGTGGGGAAGACATGGTGATGGGGTTAGCTCCTGGCCATCAGCAGATGAGTAAACAGAGAGAGATAAACACTGGCATTCTGCAGATTTGGGGTTTGAATTGGGGGGAAAAGGAGATTGCATGCATGCCTGTGCATACTCACTCACTCAAAGATCAGCTTTTCCCTTTTTCTGCCTCCCTGTTCTGTCCAGGTGTGAGCAAGCAGCCTCAGGTCCTGCCACTGAATTACAAGCTGCTCCTACCATGACTCCCCTCCCCCACACACCCACACAGTCCCATGGACTGCTCCCACAGCCACAAGCGAAAATAAACCCTTCCACCCCTAAGCTGCTTCTTGTCACATGTGTGATCACAGTGGTGAGGAAAGTAACCCAAGCACAAAGTGCTGGGAAGTGAGGCTGGGGCTGTGACATGCCTGACCAAGCGGTTCATTCCTAGGCCTGCAGACTGGTTGTGAGAATAATGGGGAAGAGTTTGGAGCTGCCAGCTAAGAAAGCTCTAGGATGCTGCAAGAGGAGCACAATGAGCAGCTCTGGTAGAAGTCTGGGCGGGTAGAATGCTGACAGAAATATGGACAGAGAAAGCAGGGCTCAATGAGGTTGCAGGGGCCCTATTGAGACTTGCCCTAGCAGTAATTTCTGTCAGATTCTGGTAATGAATCTGGCTTCTGTTGCCTGTATCCTAGAATTTGAGTGAGGATGAATATTTTTAAAAATTAGAATAAAATGTATAGTAGAGTTAATTTTAAAACAGCATGACATCCAAAAAGTGGCATGGCTATTCCTCACTGCTTGTAGTCAAATTTATAATGAGCAGAACAATGTGGACTATACAGTTTGGCAAGGAAAGGGGTCTGGACCAGTTTAAAGTTCAAATATGGTGGTATAGACAAAGCAGTCTCTAGTTGTTAAAGAGATAGTGCCATTAGAAAGAAACCTAGTTGGTTTAGGGATGTAGCTCAATTGGCACAACACTTGCCTGGCACACACAAAGCCCCAAGTTTAATACCCAACAACACATGGCATACAGGCATGGTGGTGTACACCTGTAGTCCCAGCACTTGAGAGGTGGAGACGGGAGGTTCATGAGTTCAAGTCCAACCTGGGCTACCTGACACTGTGTTTCAAACGAGAGGAAAAATACCCTGAGGGCACCACCCTATCCACCAAGGCTCCAGCATATGAAACTACAAAGCATTTGAAAAAAAGAAAGCCTGAAATGAGAGTTCACTAAAGGGACTCCCTGCTCAAAAACAACCAAACCAAACTGCCTAGAGAAGTACTTTCTCAAACTCAGCCGCAAAGGCACATAGAGACTACCGCAGCAGTGGCCCAAGAGGCGTCATGCCATATATCTCAAGCTGGCAGCGGTGCTTGGCAATGCCACGCATGAGGTGCTGAGGGGGTATGTGAAATGCCAAGGCCGTGAGGTCATGAGGGCTTGCACCAAATTCCCAGGGAAGGGAGCAGCGCCCGCTCGAGAGGTCAGGCAGATGCAGATTCCCAGGCCTCAGAGGAAGCGGAGCCTTGTGGGGCCTGCTGTGCGTTAGCACCGTGACTTGCTGGCCCATTCACTCTCACTCACTGGCTGCACACCAGCCTGGTAGCTTCGCCTGCAGTGTGACTGCCTTCTGCTTCCTGCCACAGCGAAGCATTCCCTCTGCCTTGCCACTCTTCTCTGGGGTGGGGCAGGGGCGTTCTAGACATGATTTCTCTGTGTTAACAGCCCTAGCTGTCCTGGAACTCTCTTTGTAGACCAGGCTGGCCTCGAACTCACAGAGATCCACCTGCCTCTGCCTCCCCCTGAGTGCTGGGATTAAAGGCGTGTGCCACCACCGCCCGGCCGTCACTATGCTTCTTTCATAAAAATATTAGCTTAATGGATCTGCCTCACCTTGAGACGAGGCACCGAATAAAAACGAGGTGATGACTACCACTGCGCCTCCTGGTCTCCTTGGATCAAGGTGCTGCACAGGTGAGATAAATGCAGACCTCACAGGAAACTGAATGAGTACTGAACTCTACCCTAGACCCCTCAGTGGGGGCCTGGAAATCAGCACTCTATGTCCTCTGGCGGACTCTCATGTCAACACCTGAATCCCTATCTTACAAGCCAAAGTGACTCAGTAAAGACGGCATTGCCATACACTGGGTTTTATCTTAGTCATACTGCGAGACAGAAGCCGTTCTTAGCTGTCTTACAGTGAGTTCACTAATTAATAAGCTTATCGTTTAAGGGAGGCAGGGCACGAAGACTCACCACCAAACCATTCATTTCTATAAAACAGGCAAGATTCCCAACTCTGAGTTTAAAAGAACGATTGCTATGCCCTCCCAGTCTTAGCAACATATACTGTCTAAATAAGACTTGAGCATCCTTTAGCAATTTTGATGCTTCATCAGATGGGGCTGCTGCATTAGAAGGGCAGCCACCTCTGTATGGTAAGTAGAAGCAGCATGGAGCAGGCCCCAGGCAGCTGGGGTGACTGCCATCTCTTACCACAGGAAGTTGACTTTCTGTCCACCAGAGTCACCCGCCTGGCTTCAGTGCGAAGCTTCTCATCTGTGTTCTCCACAAGGTTGGCAAGGTCGTCAATGATCTCTGGAATGGAAAGTAAGGATGCTTGGTGAATTCTGTCCAGTTCACAGCTCCCCAGGTCCACAGCTATAGGTACGTCTGCCATACCAAGGCATGAATTCACAAATAGGCTTCAAAAACTGCAATTCTGATCCAAAAAGGCAAAAACAAAACCAGAAGAGAACGGCAATGAAGTGTACACCTGTGAGGGCCAGGTGGCTCAGGAGGCAGAAGCCCTCACCCCACAAGCCTGGCCACATGAGCTTCATCACTGGAGCCCAAAGAATAAAGGTGGGTGAGAGCAACCGCCAAGGCTCCCCGGACTCCCACCCACCCACTGTGTGCGTGCACACACATACACTTACATACAAATCTGAAATTAACAAAATGAGTAAATTGACTTGTCCGTTTTTAAACCTTGTTTAGAACAATCCTATTACAGGAAATAGAAACATCAGCAATTGTGTGTGGGGGTGATGACAAGTCTCAGCTCAGGCAAGTGTAGAAGACTTCAGGGGTAACGTTAGCTGCTCCTGAGCCAACTGTTGACAAGACAAGTTGAGCAAAAAGAGACTCAAGGACTCGAAACCAGAGATTCTAACATAAGAGACGTTGGCTAGAACTAAATTCACTTAAATACTGAACTGAGATTAATTAAATATATATACTTGATAGCACAAAGGTATACATATACATATATACACATACATATATGTGTGTGTATGAGTGTATATATATACACACATTTGACAAACAGCATGTGGCAATACAATCACAATTAAAGAGCAACTGGGGGTGGGGGAGAAGCAGAAAAGGAAGCATTAGCTTCTCATCCCTTACAGCAAGTATTAATCCCACAGATGAGGGAAAAAGACCACCAACCAAATCATGACCAAATTAATTAAAGCATGCTTGTTTATTCATGTACATGGGCTGTCTCTCCTAAAGGTGGGGCTCAGGACATAAGCATTAGACATGGGGAAGATAAGGATTTTTATAGCTCAGGAGTAGGGGGTTTCCAGTCAGGGATTTGGCAGGCAAACAGGCAGGGTTGCAGAAGCAGAACATAAGCGTAACAAGTTGGTCATAACAACCTGAAACAAAGGCCGGGCGATGGTGGCGCACGCCTTTAATCCCAGCACTTGGGAGGCAGAGGCAGGTGGATCTCTGTGAGTTCGAGACCAGCCTGATCTACAAGAGCTAGTTCCAGGACAGGCTCCAAAACAATACAGAGAAACCCTGTCTCGAAAAAACAAAAAACAAAAAACAACCTGAAACAAAGACATAGTTGCAAGTTTGTCATAACATAGTGCTCATAAAAAGGTAGTCATTACAAGGTGATCATAATAAGCTGGTCATCACAACATTTTGAAACAAAGGCAGGGTTGTACAGAACAGGCAGTACAGAACCATTTGTAGTTAAAGTTACAGTAGCCCAATCCTTGAGAAACAGGTTTAATCATAAACAGGAATAAATCTACTTTGTTTTTATTATAAGATGGTCTTCAGCTCCAAAATAGAGCCAGGCTCATTTACTGCAAGTCACAGTAAGCTGTAAGAGTTAAATATATAGAAACATAGCTTTTTAAAAATCATTAAAACCTCAATGTTTTATGTCATTTTTGTGAGCATTTAGTAATTCTTACCACTTAGTAATTACTGCCTCTTTAAAGATCCTTTCTATAAAGTTCTTTTTTATGCTAATCTTTGAAAGGTAAAATTAAGCACATTTAAACGTACTTTAAATGACATTTAAAATAGCATATATATTATAATCTTAATTACATGAAGTTATTTCCATCTATCCTTTGGTATCTGCATGCCTATAGGGATACATGCGATGGTGGGAACCGAATGCTAATGATAATTGCTCCTAGGTGGTAGGGTCTTTTGTGACTGTGTTCTTCCTCAAACCTTCCTATATTGCTCACACTAATATTGAACATATATTATTTCTGGAATTGAGACTTTTCTCCTGCTTCCCTACTTTTAAGGCTAATTTAGAGATGAATTGTTCGATATGAGTCACCATTTTTCTCAAAGCGTGAAGAAACACAAAGGAGAAGGTCGAAGTCTCCGGAATTCTGATTAGTTAAGATTACCATTGAAGGCCATACTGTGACAAGGCAGACAAAAAGCAATCCATGCAATAAAAACAGCATAAGAAAGGCACAGGAGAGCGGTGGCTTCCTTCCTCCAGCCTCCTGCGCATCACAGGGCCCCCCTTCTCTATAGCCTAAGCAAGCTAGTCTAATTGTGGGTGAGTCTCTCAATTCCAGAACGAACGATGACATAAACGTCTGTTTATCCCTGTATCTCTCATCCCTAGAAGAGCACTGAGCACACACTGGGATAAAGGAAATGCAAGGCATAAAGATAACTGATGAATAAAAGCATTCAATAACTTTAAGACATTAGCTGTTTAAAAAGTGGATTTAAGCCAAGTTTGTCAGTTATCTATATGTAACAACTGCCTCAGAAAATCATCTACTATTATTTAACATTTCATTCATAATGCTCGCCTGTGTTCAGTGACAACTCTCTTGGAGTTTCTTTCCATTAGTCATGAACTTCACCTAGAGCAGTAGTTTTCAACCTGTGGGTTGTGACCCCTTTGGGGGTCAAATGACCCTTCCACAGGGGTCACATATCAGATATCCCGCATGCCAGATATTTATATTACAACTCATAACAGTAGCACAATTGCGGTTATGAAGTAGCAACAAAATAATTTTATGGTTGGGGGGGAATCACAACATGAGGAACTATATTAAAGGGTTGCAGTGCTAGGAAGGTTGAGAACCACTGCCTTAGAGCATGCTCCTCTTTCATATATGGGTCATCCCAGAGTTTTGTATTCTGACTCTGTATACTGCCATGGTGATTTTATACACCCTTTACTTGAGAAACATTTAAACTAAAAGCCTGATATGTGAGCTGGGCAGGGCAGCCCACTCCTGTAGCGCTAGCAATCTGAGATGGTAAGGCAGGATGGGTGCTGCAAGTTTGAGGTTAGCCCAGGAAAACAAACAATCCTGACCTACTTACAGACATTATTTTCTTGGAGTTTCTAAAACTAAACTTTCCATCCTTCCCGCAACTTGACTTCCTCCCAGTAGTCTCTGACTCCATGTCCGAGTTTGTTGTCTGTTGCTGGGATAAACACCATGACAAAGGCAACCTGGGAAGGAGAAGGTTTATTTCACCTATTTCACAGTCCATCATCTAGGGATGCCAAGGCAGGAGTCTGTAGCAGAAGCCATGGAGAAATGGTGCTTACTGGCTTGCTTGGCTACCTACCTTTCTTGTACAGTCCAGGCCAACTGGCCTAAGTAATGGTATCACCCACAGTAGGCTGGGCTCTCCTACATCAATTTGCAATCAAGAAAATGTCCCTAGTCATGCTTGTGGGACAATCTCATATAGACAATTCCTCAATTGATGTTCCTTCTTCCCAGGTGACTCTCTAACTTGTATCAAGTTGACAGTTGACGCTAACTATGACCATCTGCTATGGGCACCATCACTTGCTCAAGTCTGAACACCCAGTCACTTATTCACTACTTTCCCTCTCATCTGACATTTCATTTATTAGTTGCCCTTGCTGAGTTTACCTCCATAGATGTTTCAGTACTATCACTTATCTTACACTTTGTTACTGATATCTTAGAAAACCTTGTCAGTGTTTCTAAAATAATGTCCTAATTTATTTACCTGTTCCTAGTCCTAAATGCACACAATGTACATAGAAAGCTGAAGCATATGCTTTTTATCTCCTCTTTCAATTAATTACTATTTAAATAGCCCTATGTGGTACCCCTTGAATGTAATTGGCCCTATAAACTCATAGTGAGTAGTACTATTAGGAGGTGTGGCTTTGTTGGAGTAGATATAGCCTTGTTAGAGGAAGTATGTCACTGTGGGGGTGGGCTTTGAGGTCTTATATATGCCAATACCATACCCAGTATCTCAGTCCATATCCTGTCGACTTCTGAGCAAGATGCAGCCAGCACCATGTCTGCCTGCATGCCACCATGCTCCCCACCATGGTGATAATGGACTAATCCTCCAAAACTGTAAACTGCCACCTCAATTAAATATTTTCCTTTTTAAGAGTTGCTGTTGTCATGGTGTCTCTTCACAGCAATAAAAACCCTAAGACATCACATACAAGTAATGACTAATGACTATTAAACAGAGCTCTACAGTGATAGATGAATGGAAGGAAAGAAGGAAGTCAGGGAGAAAGGAAAGAAACTAAAATACACACTTATTCTACCAAGAGATATAGCTCCAGAGAAAAAATACACAAAAGAAATGAAATACTAAAGACTCATGATTCATCTAAAAAGCAGAAAGGAGATGCAGAAGAGAAAAGGGCAGACTGGACAAAAAGAATCTAACTATCTAGATGGCATACGTAAACCTAATTATAGCAACAGCCATAAATGTTGGGAGGCAGAGGCAGGCAGAGCTCTGTGAGCTCAAGGCCAGCCTGGTCTACATAGCAAGTTCCATGACAGTCAAGTCAAAAGAGAGAGACATCACATCAATTGATAGGAAAGAAAGAAGAAAATATCTCATTGTTTGGGAATTAAGAAAGCCATCTTCAAATTATATATAGAGCCAGGATTAAGCTACAAGACAAAATATTGAACTGACTAAGACAACTGATGGAGATTAGAGGTTTTGTTTTCATTTGGGGTTTTTTGAGACAGGGTTTCACTATGTAGCACTGTGTGTCCTGCAACTCCCTATATAGATCAGGCTGGCCTTGAGCTCACAGAAAGATTTACTGCCTTCCCAGTGCTGGGATTAAAAGACTGTGCCATTATGCCCGGCTTAAATTGAATGTTGATATGCCTTTAACATTCCTATTTTACTATATTTATTTATCATGGGAGTGGCACAAATGTGCCATAGCACACACACTCAGGCCAGAGGACAACTGACTTGAGTTGGTATGTTCCTTCCACTTGTGGGCTATGGGGGTTGAACTCAGATTCTCAAGCTTAGCAGCAGGT